ACAGGCGTGGGGCAGAACCTGCTGCCGTTCAGCTCCTTCTCCTGCACTGGCTAAAAGACAAAGCCCTCCCCCTGCAGAGCTGTTCGGGCTGAACGGAACCAAGAGCACGTAGGATGCACCGGGCAGATGAAAACACAGCTGCTGCCCCAAGAAATTTACAGTCGATCTCAGACAGCACACGGTATTTTTTTAATGTGTCCTAAAGCTTGCAACTTTAATTCAGAATTAAGCCACTATTTGCATCCTGTTACAAAAGTGATTAAGACACAAAATAATCTCACACTGCACTGAATTGCTAATAAGAGTGTCAGTGTTTGGAACTCAATGCTCCACTCCAGCTTGGAGAAGAAAAGCCGGACTACAAGCGACAGTACCTGGACAGCCGCAATTCCAGCAGCTGTACTGAAGAGGAAGACGAACAAATGCCAGTCCAACATCACCAGGCAGGAGAAATTTCTTGCTCTGTAAACAACTGCAGTGCAACACGTAAACCTGGGGAAGGGCCAAGCCTTGCAGCCACTGTCCCTTTCTAGTCCTGCACTAGCACAAATGGTCCAGAAACAGCTGCGGAACAAGAACAGAGGAAAAAATAACAGGACATGGCCACTACTCGGAACGATTCTGTCACTTATGGCAGCAGCTCTACAAACTTCGTCATACTGAAGGGCTTAGAGTTTGGTTTTGGGTTTGTGTGGTTTTTTGCCTGAAACTGTTCTGTGTGTCTGTTAAACACAACCAACCATATTGTCAGGATTTTTCCGGCCAACTCTTGGCGCAGACACCACAGAGTGTTCCTGCAAAGCACCGAGGGCACAAAAACACACTGCCAAGAACAGGACCTGTCCAAGCTACTGCAAAAGGTGCTGAAAATGCCCCCTGTAAGATCAGACTTCCCACACAGCAGGCAACACACCTCCACATCATTGCAGACTGAAAACTAGTGGGTTCTGGAGATGGCTTTTACCTACAGCATTTGTCTGAGCAGCTGCTGGAGTCAGTGGTAGGAAAGGGCCTGTCTAAAAGCAAGCCTGTTTTACCCCACTATTCTGTAGTATAATGCACAATTCTGCTGCTTATTAATGCATTCACTTGCTTCCTCCTGCAATGCTTCAGAATCAGATTCACTGAACATTTTTGTGATACACTGTTAATCTACAATAAAAGTTTTACCTTTCTTAAATTCTGGACTAACTTCAGCTGTACAGCCTCTGATCATTTACTAATTAATGTTTAATAATGCCTAATAAGCAACAAACCTAAAACCAAATGTAATTCTTCCATCAGCACAACGGTTAGTAAACCCAAAGATGTAGAACTGTGCGTGAATGGCGTCATTTCAGGTATGGAACAGCAGCAGCTTTCAAGAATTGAACTTTGTAAAGTTCCAGACCCACTCTCCACTAGGAAAAAAAGTGTAATTATGTAATGTAGATTTCAAAATCTAAAATAGGCTCTGTTAGTTGTTGCCCTCAAAGCCCTGTATATGAAAAGCATAACACAGTTAAAAATCTTGATAGAAGAATGAAGTAATTTTTAAATTATTTTTAAGCTTTTTCTGAGCAGCAAATCCATTACACGACAAACTTCATAAAAGCAGAACAAAGTTTCCATTTGTGATTATTAGTGTTTTCTTGCAACATGTAAAAATGGTTGTAAGAAAAGGCAGCGCTACCACGAGTAGCCATCATTCTAAAAAAAAGCATTTCAGGTCAGCCTGAACATCCTAAAAGCGGAGACGGAGCGTCACTGGGTTTCCAAAGGCGAATTCCACGGACGAAGACATCCGCCATCTGTCTTTGCCCAGGGCAAGAGGCATCCAAGCCTAAGGCGAAGCAGAAAGAGCACAGCACCTTAAGGGAGGTGGGGAAACAAACGCTGACGATCAGCGCGTCTCCACTGCCCTCATGTCAGAGTTCAGCTCTGCCCTGCCTGCTCTGGCTGAGCTCGGGACCCAACTCCCAGTAAGCGTGGCCGAGTGCAGTGTGGAGGTCGGAGGAAGGCGACAAAGCCACAGCAGAACGCTAATCAGCAGGTAGTGCGGCACAA